CACGCACGCACGCACGCACGCACGCACGCACGCACGCACGCACGCACACACACACACACACACACACACACACACACAGGGATGTACAAGTAATTCTTTATTGAAGGGAGGGAGGGATGGAAGAGAAAACCAAACTGTGTGTGTATGATGGAATGTGCGTGGAGCTGTCAAATCAGACAACTCTGTAATAAATGGTCAACCAGACAACAGGCCTGGAGGGAAAGGTTGCTAGTTGGCAAGGAGGAAAGGGAGAGCAGGCGTGTGTGTTTGCAGGACAGGCAGCTGTCCTGTCTGATGCGAGTGCTGGCTGACTGCTTACATAAGAGGACAAGTCAGCTGCTCTATGGCAGGTTGACGCTCCAAATCTCAAAGGAGTCTGGTGCGCATGCACACACACACACACACACACACACACACACACACACAAAGATGCACACATGCATTTCTGATTCACAGGTTCATCAAAGCAAGTCACAAAACAAGCTCACTGGTTATTTCTGAGCTGAAACTATGTCCATCTAAAAATATCCGCAAATATCTCAGCTAAAATTTGGTCTCAAGGTTAAATTCTTGAAGACATCTAAAATCATATTTAAACATGCTATTGAAATAGTTGAAATGAGAAGAAAATAAATACTGTCCATGTCAGTGATGTAATAAAATCCCCACTAGTACTTTAATGAGCACAACCACAATATAAGACCCTGTTCAATCTGTTTGTGCAGAAATTCAGCTTGGAAATTGTACTTCATGCCAAAAGATCACGGTTTTCCTTTACAAATACAAATTCTTCTTCATCCTTTTAAACAGGGGTGTCAAACTCACTTACAAAAGGAGGCCAACATTAAAATATTTTTCAAACTAAGGGCCAGTTTCAGAATCTACATTAACTCAAGTTAGATAAACAACATATTTTCTTGGTTGCAGGTTCTTCAACAAGAGTTTGATTGGTCTCATTTGAGGTTCTCTGTTGTGCTTGTGACATCATAATCAAAGATTACTGAAAAAAACTCAAGAGAAAAAAAGTATTTTATGTTTAACATATCATCTTGGGGGCCAGATAAGATGTCAATGAGGGCCACATTTGGCCCCCGGGTCTTGAGTTTGACACACATGCTTTACAAGATCTCAGATGTTTCTTGTTGGCCTGTACAGCTCAACGTTTACCAGTGGAGAACAATAAGTCAAATTGTATTTTGTTTTATGGTTTTGTCTTCTGAAAAACAAGAATAAATACATCTTGGGACTAACTACAATCGGCTCCTTTTAAAATTCTTGACAAAACAAATCAAATGAGAATTAAAAATGATCTTTCATCCAGTGTTAAGCTCCCAAAAGATGAACTTTAACAGTTTTACCACAATTTACAGAGGTCAGTTACATGCATTACATGTTCTCAGTTTTTTGTGTGTAATATAAAAGTTATATGAATTTATAAAGGCTAAACTACTTCGGGGCAAGATGTCAGTGCTATTGTTCAGGACAGAAGAAAATCACAATGAGACAGCCCCCCTCCCTCCCTCGATATTCTTGTCTTCAAAGCTCTGTTTGTGTGTGTTGGACCTACTTTGGGCGTGTTGATGTCCTCCACCATAAAAATCTGCTCCAGCAGAGATGCAGACTGTGGGAAAGTGCAAGTGTCGGAGGAGGACTGGGGAACAGCAGGGGAGCGCAGCATACGAACACCCTGCGGAAGCAAACCCACCTGGGCTGAACCGCTGGTTGACTGTGATGTGGAAGGAAACAGACAGCCAGAGTTAACAACGTGCATGACAGTGCAATTGTATGAATAAAACATACTGTAAATGTCATAATCCTAAGGCAAAAAAGAAAACTTAAACTGGTGAGGGAAACGAAAAACAAATTGCACTGTGGGGGTGAGAAGCGGAAGCAGGTGAAGAAAAAAGAAAATAAATAATGTAACTGAGAGAAACACATTAGGATGAAGGCAGGCTGCGATAGAAAGCACAGAAGATACAGATAAATAAATAATTGGGCCTTTTCTGTCCATTTGTTTGTTTCAGGGTGCAGGTGTGAACAGCGGGGCTTTGATCAGAGTGCACGGGCAGCAATCAGCACACATTATTCAGCAGGTCTCCTTGTTGCCCTGGACGCGGCACGGTTACCTTGATGACCGTCTGTTCAGCGATGGTGCTGGGCCGTCGCTGGCGGGCGTCGAGCCGCTGTTCGACAGGGAAGCTGCAGCGATGCGCCTTGAGCCGCTCCACCAGCAGATAATATATAGCAGCAAAGTGGTTGTAGCTTTTGTTCTGGAGCGACTGGAAGAGAACAGTGGAGAAGTGAAGGAGTTTGTACCTTAAGTGTACCCTCTTTCATCTGATAACTTTACTGGAACGGCTCTTAAGATGCAGTGAGGTCATTGTGAATTGATAATTGTAATCTAGTTGTTGTGAAACTGTTTCAAAGACAAATATGGTCAGTGTCGCCATCGGTTCAAGCAAGCAGTTTGACTACCCAACACGTAGGAACCCATGAACAATGCAATTTCACTTTAAGAAGCATTACCAAGCTTTTACTGCATCTAGTGGGTATGTGGTGTTTGGCTGGCTATACTCTCTTCTCTGTAATAATCACTGCCTCATTTCAGAATAGAATTCAAAATCTTACTTCTAACCTACAAAGCCCTCAACAACCTAGCTCCATCTTATATTTGAGATCTTATTGTTCCATATTTTCTTGACAGAACACTTCGCTCTCAGACTGCAGGATTACTTGCGATTCCTAGAGTTTCCAAAAGCAGAATGGGAGGAAAATCTTTTAGTTAGCAGGCTCCTCTCTTGTGGAACCAACTTCCAGTTTCTGTCCTTGAGGCTGACACATTGTCCAGTTTTAAGACTGGACTTAAGACTTTCCTTGTTGATAAATCCTTTAGTTAGGGTTGGCTTGTTATGTTGCCATAGACTTAGATTACTGGAGGAAAAATTGACCTCATTTGTTAAAATTGAATAGTTTTCATTTGATATTATTTCTATCTTAACATGTGATTCTCGACATGCCATTGTGTATCTGTTCCTCCTTCCTGTTCCTCTCAAACCCAGCTGGTCAAAGCAGAAGGCCGCTTGTCCTGAGCCTGGTTCTGCTAAAGGTTTCTTCCTCATGAGAGCTTTTCCTTCCCACTGACGCCTTCATGCTTGCTCAAAATGAGAGTCTACGAATATGAAGTTAAATTCAAAGCAGTCTGCTCCTCAGATAAATAATGTAATTAACTGACTTTATATACAGACCCTTTCCAAAAAATTAGATTATCATGGAAAAGTTGTTTAACTTCCATAATTCCATTCAAAAAGTTAATCTTTAATAGATGATAGAGTCAGGACCCACAATTTAAACAAATTCAAGTATTTGTTTATTTTTACATAATTTGGGCTTCCAGCTCATGAAACCCACGAAAACAGGATTTAAAAAAATTAGAATACTGTGAAGAAATCAGCCCACACTACTTCTCAGTTTTTGCAGAAAAAAAAGAAAGAAATTAGGATCACAACAAATCAATCAAAATATGGTACTTTCAAAACGATATGTCAATCTTCAATACTTGGTTGGGAATCCCTTTGCCTTAATCACTGCCTTGATTCGATGTGGCATCGAGACAATCAGCCTGTAGCATTGCCTGGGAGTTATGGAAGCCCAGATTTCCTTGATGCTTGCTGTCAGCTCTTCTTTGTTGTTGGGTCTGGTGACCCTCATTTTCCTCTTGAGAATTGCCCATAGACTCTCAATGGGGTTTAGGTCCGGCGAGTTGGCTGGCCAGTCAAGCACTGTGGCATGGGCATCAAACCAGGTTTTGGTGCTTCTGGCAGCATGGGCAGGGGCCAGGTCCTGCTGGAAGATGAAATCTGCATCTCCATACAGATCCTCAGCAGAAGGAATCATGAAGTCCTCTAAAACATTCTGGTAGACTGTTGTGGTGACCTTGGATTTAAGAAAGCAGAGCTTACCAACACCTGCAACGGACAATGCACCCCAAATCATGACTGACTGTGGACATTTCACACTGGACCTCAAGCAGTATGGGTTCTATTCCTCACCCTTCTTCCTCCAAACCCTTGGACCTTGATTTCCGTATGAAAGGCACACTTTACTTTCATTGGAAAAGAGGACTGAGGAACCTGACAGTTGTAGTCCATCTCCTGGATGCATCTGAATGTGGTGGTTTTTGAAGTTGTGACTCCCGCCTCATTCCACTCTTTCTGGATCTCTGCCAGATTCTGGAATCTTCTGTTTGATAATCCACTGAAGCCCACAGTCATCTCTTCTGCTGGTGCATCTTCTCCTGCCACATTTTGTCCTTCCACTAGACTTTCCATTGATATGCTTGGACACAGCACTCTGTGAACAGCCAGCCTCCTTAGCTATGAACTTTTGTGGCTTACCCATCCTATGGAGGGTACCATTGATGGTCTTCTGGGCAGTTGTTATGTCTGCAGTCTTCCCCATATTGAACTGAACTGAGACAATTGAACCAAACTGAAGCAATTTAATGACACCTGGGGAAACCTGTGCAGGAGCTTTGAGTTTAGTAGATGATTAGTGTGCGTCAGTCAGTTTAAAACATTCATGCCCTGCAAAATGTGGGCTGATTTATCCACAGTATTCTATTTTTTTTAAATTGTGTTTGTGGGCTTCATGAGCTGGAAGCCCAAATTATGTAAAAATATACAAATAAATACTTGAAATTGTTTAAATTGTGGGCCCTGAATCTATCATCTATTAAATATTAACTTTTTGAATGAAATTATGGAAGTTAAACAACTTTTCCATGATATTCTAATTTTTTGGAAAGGGTCTGTATATAAATGTTTCTGTTCAGTGCCCTGAGATGACATCCGTTGTGATTTGGTGATAAATAAACAAATTGAATTGAAGTGAATTGAATTTCAGGTCAAGTTTATTTTGTAGGACATTTTAGCAGTTAACCAAAGCTGCACAGGATTAGTAAAAATATAAAAAGTATTGTAAATACAGTAACAAATAAAACATTACCAGATAGAACTACAGTACAATAAAATAACTTTGCGCGCACATTAAAAGACATCTTGTTTCATTGGGACTAATTGCTAGTGAGCAGAAAGTGTTTTAAAATGATAGAGAGTCTGAGCAGCTCTAAAGGTAAAAAGTTTGGCCATTCCAAAAAACTGGGTCACTTCAATGCCTTTGTCACCCCGTCATTGAGCTTGGATCATAAGTATCTGCAGATCACACTACTTCCACTGAATTGTGAGGCTTTAAAAGATCAGACAGTTTTTTTTTTGTTTCCTGTATCAAAATACTTCTGCTCTTTGTAATTAGTCAGGCCTTTTAGAAGCGAGTCTGGCCTCTTTAATCTTGATTACAAACGTTGACAAGCAAATCAACTACCTCCTAGGGCAAATTCTTTACTAGATTAAAAGTACTTTTCTTAATAAAAAATATTGTCAAATAGTTCAGCTGTTCATGACAGCCATCATTATTTTATTTTTTTAACCAAATCATGTTTTTAAAACTGGTTTAGACATTTTCTGTAATATATATTAAAATACAACAAACAGTTGGGAATACTTGTTTAGCACTTTAAAGTCAACAAAGCACATTTTGTCTCAAACTACATTTGGGATGGTGAAAACAAAACGTTTAAAAAAGGCCCCAGCAGCTAAATGATTACTACACTATTTTTGCCAAAACAGTTGGAAACCTGCAGCTTAATCACATTGTGATTGGTGCACAAAGGCAAAATCACAATAACTAAGCCAAAATACTTTATGGATGTGGCCGCACAGTTTCCTTTTCTTTCCTAAAATGAGCTCACTTGTTTTTATTATTGCTTTGCTGAAGATCGACACTAACATTAGCAATAAATACTTTATGACTGAAACAATTCTCAACAAAACATTGGGTACAATTGTTAATATTGCATATTTTATTTGTAAAGTTTGAAAAAAAGAATTTACAAGTAAAAGTAAACGCCTCGGAAACACATAAAACATTTTTCTTTATTGCAATCAACAAATTTAAGACTTAATTTAATTTAATATATAAGTTTTATTTAATTTACATTTTCAAACCCTTTTTTAAAAATCAAAGTTCATGCTCAATAATCCAGGTAAAAAAAATCCCAACAAAGTTCAGTCAGGTCATCTGGATGTTTTTTTTTTGTTTGTTTTATTGAGACATTTTGTTCTTCATCAGTCCGAGAAGCCACAACAAACTTATTTAGTCCCACAAGCAGCACACTCCCATAGTGGACACAAAGAGGGTGGACAAAACGTCTCAACAAAAAAAGAAACCGTTCAGAAGAACTGACTGAACTTTGTACCCGGAGCATGAACTTTGATGTTTTGAACCACTTTGGCTATGGCTGCCTCAGAGGAGTTGACGGGGCAGAGGGCGGGCCCCAGAAACCTTCTTATCACCAGCAAACTGGTTGGTTCACTATGTGGGTGTGCTGCTTGTGGGACTGAGTTTATTGTGGCTCCTCTGACCGATGAGGTCATTTGGATGAAAAACAAAACAGCTCAACAAAAAAGAGAAACTGTCCAGATGTTCTGACTGAACTTTGTTTGGCCCTTTTTATAAAATCTTTTTTATTCTTTGTGTAGACAATTAAACTAGCCTCCGATTTCCAAGTCAGTCCTTACCTCTATAGTCTTGTGCTGATCAATGCCGAGGCTGTGCATGAGGCGAAGGACCTGTTCGCTGTATTCCCCCACACCTGCTTCACCCTCAGCCGACAGCGACTTCTGGTACAGAACAGGCCTCTGCACAGGAACATCTAGAATCATCCACTTGTGCTCCTTAATCTGGGTCAAAGACAAGCGTTTGGACGGGTCCAGTACCAACATCCTGCGGATCAGGTGCTCACAGTCTAGAAGGGGAGGAATAAAACAAATCATGCAGAGTATGACAAGGTTTTTGTAGCCTTTTTAAATTTAAGATAATTGCTTTTTTTTTTTTTTTAAGAAACGGGCCTTTTGTGTGGAAAAACACCCAAGTTCAAGTTATAATCAAAAAAGTTAAACCACAAAACATTGTGCTCTTATCAAACTAGCACAGATGAAGTGGGGCAGAAGTAAGACTTTAGGAGCTGCTGAATTCCTTTCTTAGCCGTTCCTGCCGTCACATTTGACCAGCACTAAAATCTCTTTTCTGCTTTCCCCTCTCCCTAATGAGAGCTCCTCACCTTCAGTCAGTAGCTTGATGAGTTTGACGTCAGACACAGCTGGGTTCTTAACAGGATTACAGTTCCCCTGGCTGTGGCTCTAGACCTGGCTGAACCCCTGCTGCCTGGACTGCATTCCTGCCTGCCACACAGCATCCCTACCCACCTCTTAAAGTAAAAAAGAAGGGCTTGAAGAAATGAGCTCGTAATCAACTGTTTTGAAATATTTCACGATGTAAATTGCCAAACGCAATCAGATTTGGTGTAAAACGGGTGAAACAGTTAAGTTTCCTTTGTCTCCACTAACAGTAGACATTAAAGCTGAACAGTCCCTCGCTACTTCGTCGTTCCACTTTTGCAGACTCGTTCTTTTGCGGGTTTTCAAAGTAAGATTGTATACGACACGCGATTGTCCATTTTAATATTACTCACATGATTGGGACATTACGGGACACAGTAAAAAGTTAACAAAAAATAAATAAATACTTCGGACAGGTGCCACCATTTTGTAGTTTTCTCTCAATAAGCCTACACTGTATCACTACTCATTAGTAATACATTGCCAAGAAACCAAAGTTGCCTTCTGCTGAAATGGAGGAAAAGTTTTGATAAGATCTGAAAAAGTTCGGTCCTTATAGTGACTTCGGCGCCCAGCGGCTGCAGAGAGCTGCATGGAACTGACTGGGAACTAGACCAGAACCGGATCTCTAGACTCATCAGTGAATCAGAGTGCCGACTGCCAGCCCACGAGACCTTCCGAGTGGGGAGGCGCCGCCTGGAGGTCTGGCGTTATCTCCAGAGCCCACTGGGATTTTTTTCATCCAGATTTGGACTCAGTCGGACCACTGTCTGGCCCTGTGCTGGCCATCCGAAATGCCCGGCTCCCACCAAAAGCGTTTTGGTGCTCAAGGGCTGCAGAGAGCCGACCAGAACCAGCAGGGTAGGTCCAGCAGGGTAGGTCTACCAAGCCAGACCAGAACCAAGCCGCTGTCTTCTGCAAAGCTGGTGAGTAAAATTTGCAGTACTGTACAGTACATATAAATATGTTGTTAAAATTACAGAAGTTTAAGAGTTTAGAACATCGCAAAAATGTGGGAAGGGTTTATAAAATCTTTAAATACACTGCCTGGCCAAAAAAAAGTCACCACTAAAAAAAGGGTCATACTAACATTAAGTTGGACTGCCTTTAGCTTTCATTACATCATGCATTCTCTGTGGCATTGTTTCAATAAGCTTCTGCAATGTCACAAGATCTATTTCCATCCAGTGTTGCATTAATTTTTCACCAAGATCTTGCATTGATGACTAGACACTAGGCATGATGGGTGCATCACTTCACCTTCTTCTCTTCTTACCATGAAGCGCCCATCACTCTGGAACAGGGTAAATTTGGACTCATCAGACCACATGACCTTCTTCCATTGCTCCAGAGTCCAATCTTTATGCTCCCTAGCAAATTGAAGCCTTTTTTCCAGTTAGCCTCACTGATTAGTGGTTTTCTTAAGGCTACACAGCTGTTCAGTCCCAAATTCCTTGAGTTTCCTTCACATTGTGCGTGTGGAAATCCTCTTATTTCACTATTAAACATAGCCCTGAGTGCTACTGTTGTTTTTCTTCCATTTGATTTCACCAAATGTTTAAGTGATCACCGATCACTATCATTCAGGATTTTTTTCCGGCCACATTTCTTCCTCGAAGACGATGGGTCCCCACTATCCTTCCAGTTTTTAATAATGCGTTGGACAGTTTTTAACTCAATTTTAGTAGTTTGAGCAATCTCCTTAGATGTTTTCTCTGCTTGATGCCAATGATTTGACCCTTCTCAAACAGACTGACATCTTTTCCACAACCACGCGATGTGTCTTTCCACATGGTTGTTTAAGAAATGAGAAGCAACTCATTGCACCAGTTGGGGTTAAATAACTTGTTGTCCGCTGAAAGATAATCACCCATGCAGTAATTATCCAGTAGGAGGCTCGTACCTATTTGCTTAGTTCAATCCAGGTGGTGACTTTTTTTTTGGCCAGGCAGTGTATAAGTTGCAATAAACCCACATTTTCTTCACTCCCCTCTTTTTCTTTTGCCATCATAACTTCCACAACCCTCTCCACGTAGTTAGCATCTCAGCCACTATAATCTAAAGCGATTGCAGGTATTTAGAGAAGTGGAGGTTCATATGATTGCCAAAAATAATTGGGCAGTATGGATGTATTTACAATTTATTGCAATCTTTTGTAAAACTGTTAAGGCACACATTTACATTGCAATAAGAATAAACTGTTATTAAATCGTGCATTAGTCGATCTCTCGTCTATCACAGAAAAAGGCGAGACCTGAGCTGCTCTTAACAGAGAGCTCTGTCAACAGACTGCTGCACATTGTTCAATGCGCCCTGCTGATCCACTAACAAGTGCTTGGAACACTTTTTTCTACCTTGTGCTTGGTAGTTCTGAGTTTTTTCCTCCCATTATCGTGCATAAACAGTGTGCCTTTCACTGCTCTTTTACCTCATACTGTGACCTCTTACCTTGTACTGCTGCTAAGTCCTGCTTCAAACAGTTTAAAACTAATACACTTATCGGACCCAGAGAATATTTACTGCACTGCTTCTCATGTTTATGGCCTGAAGGGAAACTTCTCAACTAGAATAAAAAGGTTCTTCTATGTAAAGAAGTCGACGCTGGTTAACAATGTAACGGACAGGCTGATTGATTGGCACACTGTACTTAGTGAGAATGTTACACCACCATGACTTAACCAGAAAACCATTCCACTCAACACTTGTATTGCTCCAGTGGTGTAGAGTTGCAGTGTTTCCTACAATAAACAGCAGTGTGTTGCAAGAAGTTGAAGAAAGCAGATAAAAAAAAAAAAAGATTAAAAAATGTGTTACATTTCAACGGAGACCTAAAACCATACAAATTAAGCATCCAATGATCACTGTGGACTTGCTTATCTCATAAAATGCAACGTAAATTGCCATCTTTAAAACTGAAAACAGCAACACAAAGCTCAAACCACCTGTACAATGTGAAATCACCTGAGAAACCGTGGTTAATATGCTTGGAGTAAAGCGCAGTAATCACAGTGATCAGATGTTTCAGTGAGGGTTTACAGTATGGTACAAGGTTGTGCTGTAGACCACAGTGTTAGCTGGAGAGAAGAAATAGGATGGACTGCTTCTGGATGAAGAAATCAGCACACTCTGTTCTCCTTGTTCAAGGAACAGGGGTTGGACTGGGGGTGGGAAGGCGGGTTTGAGTGTCAGTCTGGCCCAAGAGCTGATATTACACTCCTACATTCCCCTTATGTCTTAATGATCTTGAGATCCTGAACAGAAAAATATAAACAAATCTGGTTGACTCTCACCACACCCTGAAAGGAGATGTCAGACTTTCAGATCAGATACAGAGAAACAAGCAGACGGGGAGCGTTTTTGCAGGTCGAGCCCGTGACTCAAACAAGACAGAGTCTTCAGAGAGGGACAGACAAACTGCTGGAGGGCTTCACTGGCTCGTCCCCAGGTTACATAAACAGCTCCAGCCCTGGACTTAATCTCCAGCTAACGAGAGAGCACAGCAGCTAACAGCAGATCTGCTTCGAGACCTTCAGCCAGTCTGACTCACTCTGCAGCCTGCATGCAAACACAAACCTTAAACACAAATTACAGCCGATGCTGAAGAAGCACTCCATACCGTATCCCCTTTAAAGGAGCACATTTTTTGCAGGAATGAAATGACCTTCAGAAAGTGGCTGCTGCAAACATTCAGTTATATACAAACTTAAATAATAAAAAAAGATGATGCAATTGTTTGTGCTAACTCTATTTCACACTCAAAATACTAAAAAAGGCAAAGTACAGTTCAGGAGTGTGCATTCACAGGAATATTTGGTACTAAGGTGTGGTGGAATAATTTCCTTATCTTAATTTGTATTTCAAATCCCAGCCAGATTAAGAAGGCTGCCTCTTCTCACCTTCAGTCATGAAGTAAGGGATGCGAAACCTTCCTTCTAGGACTCTCTGTCGGAGCACAGGCAGAGTGGGCCCATCAAAGGGCAACGCACCACACACCAGCACATAAAGCACCACCCCCATACTCTAGAAACAAGATGCGCACACAGGGGAAAAAAAGTCAGAAATCAATCAGACATACGGTTTTAAAAACACATGAAGTGAAGGGAAGTTTTCACTAAGGCAAAGTAGTTTTGATAAATTATGAAAGGGAACATCTTCTTTTTATGCAATCGGTCATCTTACCCAGATGTCCAGCTGCGGGCCTTCATACTGCTGTCCTTCAAAGACTTCTGGAGCAGCGTAAGGCGGGCTGCCACACCATGTGGCTAGAGGCTCCCCAGGCTGGAAGAAGTTCCCAAATCCAAAATCTACAAAGGGTAAAAGAGCAGAGGGGGACAAGTCAAAGACAAATTTAAACACTCAAGATAGTTGATAATATAAAAACCCTTAAGAATTGTAGCTCTCTAGTCATTTTGGCAAAGAATGAAGAAGAATGAGCCATCTACTATAAACTGAAATACTCAAATATTGTATTTTGAAGACAAAGGACATGTAGTTATTATAATCACGAGTGTTTACATGGAGATTTTGTGTATTGCAGCATGCAATCCACATTTTTGCACATTGAGGAAATGGATCTTTGTATGAGGCAACCTCCCCTGGAGACTAACATGAGGTCATTAGTGCTGGGCTCTGATAGGCTGTCTGTAGATTGACTAAAACTTTGATTTTCATCTCGAGAAGAAAGACGCTGCACTAGCACAAATACACACAAAACGTCAGCCTTTTATTAAAATCCAAGCAAACAGTGCAGTTAAACAATCCAAAATTATGCTCAGCCAACTCGAGTGCCTGAAATCACTCAAGCAACCCATTTTTCATATTAGTTCAGATCTCTTTATGCGAATGTTGCTCCTTTGTCTTGAGTTCAGGAATGAAATTTCCTTTTTTCTTATGAGGACAGCATCTGTCGTTCCCGTTTTGTGTCATTGTAAATGTAATCCTTTCATCTTTTAATGTGCGCTGCTAGTTATTTTTATAGATTTGTGGTTGTTTCAACAATTGACAACAAATGACTCTATGCCTAGATATTCTATTATCAAGTGGATGGTGTCATTGGACCAGACAGCTGTACTTTAGTTTCCAAACCCACCCTTTTTTTAAATAATTTACAACTGTTACATAAACATAAAAAAGCATGGCAAAACAAATTACAGTAAAAAAAAAAACAAAAAAAACAGCTTATATAATGGGACTGGAGGTGATGTGGGTTCAAACAAACAATAAACTGTAGAAGACTGACAGATTGTTTAACAAATTATTTTTTGTGCGTCTTATGTCATTATGAACCCTTACAGTAAACCCCCAATAATCAACCCACACTACATCAACTTCACACTGACCACATGACCACACACAATATGAAATTATAACTTTTAATTATCAATAACCATGTAAATTACGTCTTTTTTTATCATCTGCCAAATATGGTAAAAATGCAATATTCAGATATGTAGGTTATTTATTTCTTCTCCACAGATGAACAAGAAATAAAAAAATAAACAAATAAAAAAATAACACAACCAGTGACCACTTCATGCATAACTTGTAAGCACAGGAATGCCTATGAGACTAAATTATGAACTTACTTAACACGTTTTAGTCAAAGTTTAAATATACGTTTATTATTTGCTTCTCTACTATCAATGCTAAAAAAAAACACAAACAAACAAAAAAAACCCTTTTAGCCGTTTATGATGTACCTAGTACCAAAAGCAGCAAAGGCTTGGCTGTACCAAAACCTTCTCTCTTTTTAGTGAGATTCAGTCACCTCTGTAGACATGATTTTTTATGATTTTAGTGGCTACTCAAAGTTATCTGAGATTTTTGTACTTGTACCTGTTTGTGGGATTGCATTCATTTACTTAAGTTGACGTTTCATTCATTCATTCAACCTTATCAAACTACATCATGAAATGAGGTAAAATACTAGAAACAGGAACATGTCTGCATTGATTTTTGCAAAGAACTTAACAATTGTTTAAAATTCCTTAGATGGATCAAAGTCGACGGCTTCAGATCTTTTTGCAAGATATTCCAGGAAACAGGAGCGGAGTAAGAAAAGGCCTTTATTCCAAGTTCAGTCCAAACTAAGGGGACGCTGCTTCAGGTAATGGTGGCTTGAGAGCACATGCTGTTGCTGCACTGACGACGTGACATGTAGGAGGAGATGTATGAAGGCAACAGGCCAATGAGTGATTTAAAGATGAAAATGTACCATTGTGAGAGTCTGTGTGAAGTTAATGAAGACCAATTGACCAGTGAATAGAGTGCAATGATGGGTATGGTATACAGCCAGTTATGAATCTTAGCACGCTGCGATAGACAGCATCCAACATATGCAAGGTGGTTGCAGGAGCATTCATGTAAATAATGTGAGTCAATGGCCAGAAAGAAAGTTTCAGCCACAAGGCGTTTCTTAGCATTTAAGATCTATTTCTGAAATAGAAACCCAGTTTCAATTTCAGTTTCTTTTTCAGTTTTTTGACATGTGGCTTAAAAGAGAGATGTGCATCAACCAGAATTTGCAAGTATTTGTAAGAATCCAGTCATTTGATAGAAACACCATTCGTAGATAAGATAGGAGGAAAGACTGCTGGTACCAACTTTCTGTTTGAAAACAACAACCCTTTGGTTTTATCAGTATTTTTGAGATGGAACAAATCTGACTGAATGATGTTGAATGCAGACTGTAAAAGATGGAACATCTTGGCAACTGATTTAGCTCGACAATAAACAACTGTATTATCGGCATAGAAATGCAAGGATGTGTCTGGAATGATCTGACCTACATTACTTATGTAGATTGTAAAGAGAGTGGGTCCTAAGACTGAGCCTTGTGGTACATCATTATTGACAGTTAAATAAAGAAGAAGTTTACTTAAGTTTACATTTACTTAGATAAATTCACAGAGTAATTTCTGCATCAAAAGCAGGAAAATTGAAGAGAAAGAAGTGGAGCACATACTTCAGACAAAAAAAGATCATGAAATCTCTTAAAAGATTGATTTATTTTCTCCTTTCTGTGTTTAGTCTAAAATTCAGTGTTTGTCACTATAATCTTTGGACTCACTTTTATGTACAAATTTCTTGACTACTGTCAGCATTCAGATGAAAAGCAAAGAAAAATAACTAAATGAAATGAAAGTAGATGACAAATAATCTGGATTGTAATCGGTTGCTTTCTTGGAAAAGATGCAGGAGGTTCTAGCCCAAATACGCTTAGGAATCGGATTTGAAAGATTAAGAAAGAGCAAATTTAAAAGCAGACAGCAGATGTGAGCCCAATCAGTCAAAGCATTTAACTGCTGCAATGCAGAAAGCAGCAGGTGAGGCTCAAGTGAAGTAGAAGGTGAAGATGGGTGTCATATTGAGTTTATTACAGTTCTGTTCACCATCTGATGTTTTCGCAAAGGTAAAATTCGAGATGCAGGCAAGTGAAAGCAGTGGAGCTGTTTTAGCATCAGAAGCTGTGACCCATTTCATGGAGCTGAATACTGAGCAGACTGGTTGACGTCAAACACTCCGGCACGCTGCAGGCTACTAACAGCAGTCAGCTCTACAGGAAAGGGTGGGGTGATGGTGGAGGAGGAGGGACAGGAGTGTCACATACAACAGCATTAACATAATATCAGATGTGTTACACTGAAAATACAATTCACCTGCCAGGCTGGGTCTTATCAGTGCGAGTGAGTGAAATCCTGCAACTGGAAGGGGACAGATTTCTGCAGTGAAAGATTTAATTATGTGCTAAATTTAACTATATGAGCAGCACACCTCTTCTTTTAAACAACTGAATCGAGTAAAAAACGTTTTCTCTCAATCTTTCTCATCACAGTTCAAATAATACAAATTTTAATCTCAATTGTAAGTAAAGAAAAAGCAATATATGACCTAAATAAGGGTGACGTTTGTAAAAATAGAGAAAGTTATGTTAAAGAACCAGCAGAGAGGATGTTTCTGGTGCATCCAACATTCAAATGGCTCTGTAATTCTACATGTTCCTAAGTAAAATGAAAAGATAAATACTGCAAAATTTATCTTATCTAACATATTTACCTATTTTATCTAAATTAGGAATTATTCAAAAGGTGTTTTAAGGTGTTTAACTCGAAAAAGCTGTTTTGTCAACCCAAGCAGGAGAATGTTTGTTGTGTCTACATCACCTATAGGGCATGAAACACTTTTAAGACTTGGGTCACTTTAAACTACATCTTTATACGGATAACTTTAACTTTTTCCAAAAGAAAAACACCCTTCAACATACCTAAAATACGTCTTTACCAATCCCAAAGATAAAACAAGTTCTTGTAGTGTAAATGAACATAATCTGTTACCCCCCTCTCCTAAAAAATAAACAAGGCCTCTTTTCTTTTTCCGATCCAGCCACTCCCTCTTGTTTTTGTTATTTCTCCTCTGCTCTTTCCATCCCCTTCAATCTGTCAACTTGACCCAAAAGGGGTTGTTTGAAGGGAAAACATTAAGGGCACTCCCTGCTGCTACTGTTGCACTCTCCTCTGCAGCCGCCATGAGTGTGACCTTTCCTTGACTGACCGCCAGTTAAGCTTCATACAGGCTGACCAGAGGTGGCCTTTAGAGAGCTGCAGGACCTGACTGGACCGCTGGGAACAACAGAAGCATCGACAGTTCGTCTAGTTTTAAAAACAGAATTGAGGCAAAGGTTGAAACAAGATTAAAAAAAAAATTATAAGTTGAACTAACAAATTGCCAATGACCAAACATCTCAAGAGTCATTTTCACAAAAGCATGGATGTTGTTCTGCATCAAAACACAGTAAACTTGACTAAGAACTAGGTCTGTCGTAATAAACAATAAATCAATTATTCCCATGATAAATTAAAATTATCAACCTCATTTTAATTTATTGGCTTTTTCATTTCTTTGTGTCTCTCTCTTTCTACTGAAGACACTGGATGACAAAAGGCTCAACTTCGGTGCTCTTGACTGACCCCTCCCTTTCCCTTTTCTTTTTAAAATCTGTTTTAACCATAGAAAATCACATTTTTGGAGTGCTAAAAGCAGCTAAGCTGAGAAGCTAAGCTACGAGCTAAGCTAACAGGCCGACCTCAGGAAAAAAACCTCCCTTTTGTCAAAGCTCAAATTCACGGTTGAAACCCGTGCCTTGGTGTAAAGTTTTTCTCTGCAAAAAAGAAGCAGAGATCTTATTTACTGATTTTTTTATTATTAAAAGCTTTGTGTGAAATATGCTATGCTAAAGAGCTCAAACCACACCGAGTGTCCGCCATTTTGAAAACCAAAGAGAGACAGCCCATGTCACGTCAAGGGGCCTCCCTCCCATTTTTCTTAAAAAGACACGCTGCTCGCTCCCTCACTATCCAGCCTTTGGCTCAAACAGTTTTATACTGCCATCTGGTCATCGAAAAAAGTACTACACACAAAACAAATTAAACATTTCTTCTTAATTTTGATAATTACTACCTATCCATCAATTATCTTTTACCCACTTCTTCCATTTTGGGTCATGGGGGTCACCGGTGCCCATGTCCAGCAATCACTGTGCGAGGGGCGGGATACACCCTGGATGGGTCGCAAGTCCATCATAGGGACACATAGAGACAAACAAGACAAACAACCATTCTCTCTCTCACTCACACCTAGGGACAATTTAGAGTCACCAATCAGCCTAACATGCATGTTTTTGGTCTGTGGGAGGAAACCAGAGTACCCGGAGAAAACCCACGCATGCACAGAGAGAACATGAAACTCCACCCAGAAAGGCCTCTGGACCGGGATTTGAACCGGGGACCTGCTCGCTGAGAGGCAGCAGCTCTACCAGTTGCGCCACCGTGCTGCCCCTGACAATTACTAATTATAGTCAAATTTCAAAAAATATTATCGTTTATCGCAATAATTTCCGAGACAATTAATCGCGCAACAAAATTTGTTATCGTGACAGGCCTATTAAGAACACAACAGTTTAGATTCATAGGCATGTCCAACTCGGTTACCAAAAGGAGCCAAAATTTAAAAACTTTGTCCAAGCCACGGGCCACTTTCAGCTGATACATTAACTCAAGTCAGACACCTGATATCTTTTCTTGGTTGCAGGTTCATGAACAAGACTTTGACCTGTCTCACTTGATGTTCTGTTACTCTTTCCACATCAGAATCAATAATGACAGAATGATCCAGCCTTCTTTGCCAGCTGTCAAGAGAAGTCTATACTAAATTATAAATTTATCAGTTGTTGTTTTAAAGAAAAAATTAAAAGAGATTCAATATTTTACATTTAACTTATCTAGGGGGACGAGATTTGGCACACAGCTCTTGAGTTTTACATATGAGAAACTTATGTTTATCTGTCACAAATGAGTCAGTTAGTGTGTGCTTACTGGAAAACGTTCTCTTGTATGAACTAGTTAAACTTGTATTAATCATATTATCTCATTTTACACACAGGCCTGTGCAAAATAGTATTTTGTTCATATTGGACAATTTCTATACACAAAGCTGCATAACATTCAAAGTGCTTGAAAATTAAAGGCTCATAAAATCATAAAACAATTAAAAACTTGCCAAAAACCTAAAAAAATGCAATCAATTATTTTTAGTATACAGCTAAAGAGAAGTTTTCTTAGTTTAAAAAATAGCCAACAACAAAATACTCAAAAAAAATGGGCAGCACTTTGGAAACAATAAAGATGAATGGCCAAAGGGATGTTAAGATCCTCTGAAGTGGGGTTCTGAGAAAAGATTATAAACAATTAATATCTGCTGTAAAAAGATCTTTGAACAACTTGACTTAGGATAAATAAAATCCATCTCTGACCAGACTGATGAGCTAATGGCTAGTCACAATGGGACAAAGACCAGAGAGATGCTGTCTTAAAACAACTCCAATTTCACAAATCTCAAAGCATGGTTCATAAGCTTTCATGTTACAGTCTGTTTTAAATCATACGATCCTTTAGGTTGAATTTTATGCTTATGGTATTTGCAAGGACATATAGCAGCAGCTAGCTGTAGCACTTCATGTGCAGCCTGGAGCGCTTGCAGCAGCAGAACAGCTGGCAGTATTAAGAAAATGAAGATTTTATTACTTTGCTGTCCAGTAAAGTTAATGTATACTAAGTGGGAGTTCTGAGCCTTCCTATCCTCATCCATCTGCTCTTACACTTTTTTTTCAAATTGAAAAAGCTAATTTTTCTTTCCAGCTGTCTGCAAACTAAAACACACCTAACCAAAAACCAATGCTTATTTTATTCCTATGCCTCCATCTTTCTTGCTTTTTTTTTTCAAAGTTCTTATTTTGTTAAATGCTTCCACAATTATTTCATTGTTTATCATTAATTTGGTTGCTTATTTATTTATCTAACCATATATATTTTTTTTTAAATCACTATTTTCTGCTATAGATGCAGATTTGTCAAGAGAATAAAAAGGAAGTAGGAGAATAAATCTGACCCCGTCTGTCACATGGAGACAGTAAATTATAGATCAATGATATTAATTTAATGCAGAAATGAAAAAGACTATAAGAGTAATTTTGCATTTAAACTCATCTAAACTTTACGTACTACTTACCAAACGTGTAATTGCATGTTTTGGGTTCAGAGCAGCACAGAATGTACCTTACTGTCGCTGAGAGACATTTTCTTTAATCACAAGTCAGGTAATGTTCTGTTCATTGTTTTCCTGCTTCAAATCGAATCTGTCGTGCTGAAAATCAGCTGAGAGTCAGACATGTTTGTGAAAATTACTGCTGGGGTAACAACATCTCCGGGTCATCATTTTGGAGCCTTCTAAGAAACGCTAAAAGGATGATTGCAGAAATGGCAAGGCTAAAATGCACATTTCTAATTTATCTGTAATTTTAAAGTTGTGTTTATTTCTTCTTTACCTGCTTTAACGTTTTGGAAGAAATAAACCCACTGAACAATTGTATAAATATTGATTGGGTGCTTAAACATTAATTTTTCAAGCATTGTCATTTTAAAACAATGACAAAACTCGAACAATTAGACTATAACATGTCAAATCTTTTGAAAACAGACTATTTTCTTTTAGATTAACATTTTCATTGAAAGTGTAAGCTGTTCTTTGACAGCTGCTCTTTTAGCTGCTTTTATAAAACCAACTCACCTCTAATGAATTTCAGTATCAGCAGAGAGAACTTTGTTCTTTCTCAAAGGAGGTGGAGCCCTTCTACACCTGGTATGAACACTCCTTCACCGTTTCATTCAAATCTCTGTTCCTAGAGTGGAAAATTTATTTTAACACCTTCTTTCCACCTCCTTTGGGACCAAACTCATCTCTCTCATTTTAAGAAGCTTACTCTCCTCTACTAGTGGGAACTCTCACAAGATAGCTCCGAAAACTCCTGGACTGGAATTGAACAGAGAATGCAAGTAAACCTTAATGTTTTTGGTGTAAGATATTCAGATTTAATTAATTAATTAATTTTTGTCCAAGGTGGCAGAGTGATGGATCCTGGAGAGTGAAGGGAGCAATTTTATCTTCCACCAGGTGCACTGGCAGAGCCAGGGGGTGGCCAATGGTGGCCTTGACACAATATATTAATCTTCAGCCACTGCACCAGCTACCACAATCATTTGAGAAAATTAGATTTGTCAGCAATATAAAAACAAGAAGCACAGTTTCCTCAATTGATAGGGGTGGTCAGTTTACACACACACAAACACACATACAGACACGCATACAAGCGTATGCACGCACACTCAAGGCAATCCAATTTTCAAAAGAAACCTTTCTTATGCCTATGCAGCCACACACCAAAATGGAATTCGGTACCTTACTTATTTTTCAAGTGATCTCGCTTACAACATGCACGGATGGACAGAATTTCCACTTCCGCCTTTTCAATCTGCGACGGGTGACAACATATCTTGAAAAAGTATATTTGTTATTTTGCACTGACTGCCAAAACCCAACCTTTTGAAGATTTCATTCTTTCATTCATTCAACCTTTATTTAGACAGGTTAATCCCATTGAGCCTCGAGGACTAATTTACAAAAGAGACCTGATTTCAACAAGATACTAATTCAAGATAATTATTATTAGATTATTCAAGATAATGATGTCATAGACCCACCTCTAATCTAACCCATGACACAAGGGTGTCCTTTTCTTATTGTGCTTATACTTTGCACCCAGAGTGCAAGCTGTATGCACATGCTCCATGCCCCGTTTCCTGTTTTTGGGGCAGCATTACAGCGCCACATAGTGTTTTAGGTTCTTGAAACAATACTGTTTAGGAGAGTCTTTTTAGAAACAACAAACCTGGACTAACCCCCCACCCCCACCCCCACCCACCCCACACACACACACACACACTCAACTGTATTTACAGTACCTGCAATCTTGATGTTCATGTGGCCGTCTAGCAGCAAATTTTCTGCCTTTAGGTCTCTGTGGACGATGTTTCGGTTGTGACAGTACTCCACTGCAGACAGGATCTGCCAGAACTTCCTCCTGGCTTCCAGCTCACTGAGACGGCCGTGCTTTGCCAGATAGTCTGCAGCCAGAGAGACAGTTATTGGAAAGAGGTGACGTGTCATGTTAGAAGCCCGTGCAGATGATATTTGAAGCAGATTACATAACATTAAACCTCATCAGACCTTTAAGACACAGTGTAAAGCATCACTGTGCAGCTGGAGATAGCCCATTTAAACTGATTTTATTTTTTTTATTCCTCTGAGTATTACTGTTGTTGAAAGGATAATTTACTTTGGCTGAAGCGCAGGCTTGGTGCCACCAGCAGTTTACAGCTGCTCTTCATTTCAGCATGCTTTGTAAACAGATTCACTACAAGATGTAATTTATCTTTAGAAACTCTTGTGCTAACCCTGTGTTGATAAGTTGGCAGAGACTAATGGTGAAGAAAGCAGAGTGGTAGTAGGAGGAGAGGAGACTCCTGTAAACTGGTCTTCTTGCTGAAGCACATGTTGTCCATATGAGTAAAATTTTGAGAAGCTTCTGACTTGACCGAGCGAACAATAATGCCAAGTTTAATAGCACACAGGGAAACAAAACAGACAGTTTGGACAGATCAAGATAATGTTCTAACGACAAGCCTGTGTTCTGGTCCCACGAGTAATAAAATCATTTGATTTATCTGCAAATCAATTTGGAACAGAGCAGAAAAAAAAAAGTTTCCAATTGCTTAGAAAAACATAAAACTAAAATGAGTTCTGCCCCGACAGGGCCACAAATTCTACTGGCAAGGTCGAGGTTTCTTTATTGTCATTCACATCATACAGTATGTGGTACATGTGGTGGAATGAAATTGTGTACACAGGGTCCCAGTTACATCCAACAAAAGTATGAATTATAAAATAAATAAAAAACAATAATAAGGTCTAAGTTACGAACTAAGAAATAAAGAATACGCTAAGAACTAATAGTACAAAAACAATATGCCGAACAACAGTAACACAAACATGAGTCTGTGTGAGCAGATGAGTATGAATGAACATCAATATGAAATAAATCAGCAGCATGAGATCAGCAGCATGGATAGTCAGCAGCACATATCAACAATCAAGTGGCATTACAGTGATTGTTTTCAGTGATAATCCTGGGTAGGGATTCACGAGTCTAACAGCCTCAGGGTAGAAGCTGTTCTTCAGTTTAGTGGTTCTGCACTTAATGCTCCTCAACCTTCTGCCTGAGGGGAGCGGGGCAAAAAGTGTGTGCGCGCTGGGTGAGTGGGGTCCTTCATGATGCGGGCGGCTGTCTTCCAGTGGGAAGTTGTTGTGCGCAGATCAGTGACCCTTCCCTCAAAGTCTGCTCTCACCTTTCCGATTGTGTTACTATTCTGCATTTACCATTTCCATTTTTTTCCTTTTTAGAAATGCTAATCAACAGAAAACGTCACAAGATGCATAACTGGCTGCTGTCCCGTGATCTTTGAAAAGTGTGGCATCTCTTGTTGTCTGCAGGGTTCATCTTCACACCTCGCTGTCTAGATAGCTTGCTAACTCTTTAATTTGCACTTAGTGGCAAACAGGAGAGGACACTTCGCACTGGCTTCCTTCCCAGCTGGCATGGACAGAGCACTGCTTAAACCCAACAACAATGCACAATAACCACAACAAAACCCTGCAACAACACATGGAACAAAGATAGATTTAAAGAATGTAGCCATCATTGCAGACGGGTACAGCTGTAGCTGTAAAGTTTTGTACTAAAAACACACAGCTGCTATTACACTAAAGCACAAATAAAGGTTAAAATGATAAAAGTTTGATATTTAAGCTAGTGTTGGGATCAAAACAGAGTACAACCAATCTGCTGTAATAAAGCTGTAACATCCGAAACAGTGTGCAATCAACTAAACATAAAATAATAAAAGAAAGTGTAACATTATTCCTGACACTTATAAAAACCTCTGTTCTGTTTATGGTTGAGCAAAGGGTTAGCTGAATGTCAAATTCAATTTTAAGCTGTAAAAATTACTTTTAAAAAACTAAAGCTGCACAGTAAAACTTTAATAATTAACAGAATTGTTAATAAATAATTCACATCTGACACAAAGAAAACACGATTAGATAGTAGCTGTTGAATTTCATAGCGCAGGCCCCTCAGTGACGAAGGCATCCTTTAAGCGTCAATGCTAATCAAAAGACACACTGAGCAGAGGAATGTGTCGAGGAGGTCTGAAAACGACAGGAGCAGGCCTTTAATTGTTCCAGGATCAAACCTCTCGCATTTGCTGCTCTGCCTTCATTGGCCAAAATACCAGACGACAACCTTGGGCTCAGACGAGGTGATTGTCAAGAGACTAAAAGAACCTAAAGTTGGACATTCCTCAACCCCACTGTCAGATAAAATATAAAATTAATCTCTGCTACAACAGAGAGCCCATGATAATTAAGATAACAGTAAACACTTTGCAGTTTGAAATATACAGTTTTTCATTCTTGGTTGTGGACAACATGTCTAAAGTAGTTTTGTGAGGACTGGAACTGAAGACTATTTTTATTATTAGTTTTATAATTGCATTTTTGGTCTAACAAGCAATTTATAATTCAAAGATATTTTGTTGCCATTACACAAGATTTAAAAAAAAAATCTGCAATTATTTAATTTTAAGAGGAAAAACATGAACTTTTAAAGCTTTTAGCATTTTAAACTTTACGGTTTACCGACTGCTGCTTAAAGATTTACAAGTTTCCAGGTATAAAGCAAACATTGTTAGAGTATTTTCACACTTTGCTTAGCTTCAAAGTAATTTATTTCTGTAAGAACAAGTAGAGGCATTGTGTTACTCAATGGCACTTGAACAATAAACCATTAATGTTAGAACTGACACACACACACACACACAAAATGCAATATGTTGCCCCAGTTGAACGATGAGTAATCCACTGATACAAGACTGGTGAGGGTAAAGACCTCAGCACTGTGAGGCATGCAGAATTGCATTCTGGGAAAGGAAACAGAACAAGTATGAATCATAGGGGTATTAGGGAACAGCTCAACAACCACAGTGTTCCACTTCTGCTGAGAGCTGGGTGAGATACTAAGTCTCTTAACAGCTGCTCAGGTTTGGACAGGACAAACATTGCTGGTACAAACTGGCTTGTTGGACAGAGCTCTGGCAAGACTTCAGACAACACTGGTGGGGGGGGGGGGGTATTGAGTGTGAATGCTTGTGTTGGTGTAGAGAACAAGGGGCAGATTTATACACACACACATTCTGTTTCCACAACAGTAATAGAAGTCCAAACCACTTAAAAGCATCAGCTCATTAAAGTCACATCTATATGCATGTTGATGGATGTTGGTACTGATTTTATCGTATAGAATAACACTCAAAGATCATCATCAGCAACTGGAAGTGACAGCCAAGTTTTCTACTCCTTTACTGAAAACTGACAAATGAAACTGCCATTACAAATCAAATAAAATGGTGGATTAGGTAAAAAAGATAGTCTTGTACATGCACGCACTAGAAGGATATCTTAAACACTAAAGGCTGATGAATAATTAATGTATTTTCAATTCAGTTTATTTATACTATAGCGCCAAATCACAACAGAAATCATCTCAGGGCACTGAAACAATTTATCAAAAAAGAAAGTCTTAAGCCCAGTCTTAAAACTGGACAATGTGTCAGCCTCATAGACAGAAACTGGAAGTTAGTTCCACAAGAGAGGAGCCTGATAACTGGAAGATCTTCCTCCCATTCTGCTTATGGAAACTCTAGAAATTGCAAGTAAGCCTGCAGTCTGAGAGTGAAGTGCTCTGTTAGGAAAATATGGAACAATAAAATCTGTAATATAAGAGCTAGGTTGTTGAGGGCTTTGCAGGTTGATTTTGAATTCTATTCTGATAAATTCAGTAAAAAAAAAAATCCCATAAATTTGATAAAATCAATACAATTAATATATCAGTAGGTCTATTGAATTACTTGGCTTTACCTTTTATATAAAAATAAATTGCCCAACATTTGCTGTTACCTTTTCATCATACATTGGCCACATATTAAAACCACTTGATTTTCCATGTATGAATGGTAAATGGTAAATGGACTGCATTTACATAGCACCCGTCTGTCATATCAGGATACTCAAAGTGCATTACACCACAATTCTGTGCCCTCATTTATCCATTCATACATCACTACTATATCTTTACAAAGACTAATCAGAGCTGTACCACATCCGTACGCCAACGAGACACACATAGGAGGCAATGAGGGGTTCAGTGTCTTGCCCAGGGACACTTCGGCATGGGACTGCTGGTGGAATCGAACCCCCAACTCTTGCATTGGAGGACGACTGCTCTAACCACTCAGCCACAGCCACCTCTGAACATGAGGTCGACATTGGTGACTAATAATTCGAGTCCTGATCGTCACAGGGTGGGGATTAAAAAGCTCAGGCCGATCCAGGTGTAGCTCATAGGAACTTGAACAGTTTGAAAACTAGAGCAGAGTCTAGTCCCTTGAACTGTACGCAGTTTCCTCAGAGTGACGGGGCATCCTGTCCTGCTGGGGACAGTGGGTTCCTCGTTGATAGTTTGTGCTAGTTTTCTTATTTTGATATTACAAAAAAGTTTGAAATTCATCCTTTTCTTCAACTGTGTTTAACAGCAAATTGGAGGGGAATTCCAGACATAAAAATGCAACAATAACTTTGTACATCTTAAGACACATTTTGGAGAAATGACACACACACGCGCACACACACAAAAAGATACAGCAAGTGCTTAATTCCTGAATATTCCTCTAATGCTAGAACATCTGCAATTGTTGTGACAGTGAAAACAATTTTAAGAAGCAAGAGCTTTATCAAATGTATTTGTTTGGTAATGGGTTGCAGTAATGGATGGTCAGTGATGATGTTAATAATTAGACTTGCAAGACAAAATATGGAAAATCCAAAGTATATTTTTCCTGCAGTAAAAAAGTCTAAGTAAAGCACACATCGTTTCCAGATGTGTGTTTTGACTTGAAGAAGAGAACAAATCAGTTCAACTAGTAAAAAAAAACAAAAAACACGTCAGTTT